AATAATAATAGCAATAGCAATAATAGTAACAATAATGACAATAAGAAGAATGATAATGATGGTAGTGATCATAGAATGATAATCATAATAATAATAATAAACATAGTAACAATGATAATAACAAGAAACATAATAATAATGACAAATATCAAGATACTTTTGATAAGAACAACAGGCATACTGTCCTGCCAGCTAGGACCCTTGGAATGGCGAAGTGGTTCCAGAAACAGTGAGATTCGGGTTCTGTTGCTCTAGGGCCCTACCCTAAACCCTAAAACCCTAAACCCTAAACCCCCAAACCCTAAACCCTAAACAACCCTAAACCCCAAACTAGGGTTCCAGAGGACGTTGCTCGCAGCGAGGGCCAGTCATCAGCAGCTACAGGAACCACGTGAGGCCCCGGAGTAACAAGGTAGTTCTCTAAAGTAGGGTCCCTTTTTTGGTCCCCAAAATAGTACGGCACCCCTATAAAAAGGCCCCAAAAGGGACCCTAATTTAGACAACTACCCAGAAACTGAATTTGAAGGAAGGGTGTCGTTGTACGCTGATGGTGCAAGGCGAGTAAGCCATCCAGTAGTTGCTCCAAGTAGCCTGAGCTGAGGACCAAAAAACAGAAACTTGCAAGCGGCAAGGTCTTTTCGGCTGGATGCTGCCAAGGCTCGTGCATCATGCCCATGATAAGTGGCATAAAACGGTCCTGGCCAACCGACAAATGCTATGGGTTCTCCTGGATCATCTGCATGGTGATGAACCCGAAACCTGTGCCTGAACTTTGTATTTGGTCCCGTCTGTGCACAGGACCGACCTGCCTTGAATGACCGGGTGATCTGCATCACTCCGTCGACTTCGACAAACGCAACAACTGCCTCAGCTGAAAACCTGGGTCATACCAGTCAAATCCCACTGCTACTAGAAATCAATCACAATCAGCCTGGCCCCAAAAATCGAAGAAGTCACAATGAACATGGAATCCTCACAATGACATAATGACATAGTCGCCATGAGCAAAGCTGAAGTCAGGATCGAAGGTTACTTTCCGCTCGATGCCCACCAGTTGGCGGAAAGAAGCATTGTTACATATTACAATGTTATATATGTATATGTGTATAAATTATTTTTACATACTTATCTATGTACTTATTTATATACATACATACATACATACATACATACATCTTTCTTTCGGACGCTGCAAAGGAGTCTTCGCATAGCGAGGCTGTTGTGACAGGTAGCCAACCCGGCTCATGGTGAGCTCTGTTGTTTAACAGATCCGCAAGCGCACTACGCAAAACCTGAAGCCACCGCCGCCGTCAGGTGTCGGATA